AAAGAAAAGAAATAATATATGGATGTATTTTTGTTTGGCCTTAATTATATAATATGGACGTTGGATAATTCAAAAATGAGAGCCGACGAGGTGCACCGAATTAGACGGCTAACTTTCCTACGTGGACAAATCAAACACCGTCCACGCTCCCAACATGCCCGATCTTTACCAAAGGTTTTGAAACTGCTACTTTTCAATTATTATTATTATTATTATTATTATTTTTTTGTCAAATCCGCCTCTTTATGTTTGAATAGCCCTTTGTACCGTTTCACTTCTCCCTCTCACTTTCCTCTTCTTCCGACTTCTGGTGCATTTTGCAGATCTCTCTTTTCCTTCCTTCCTTCCTTCCTTCAACTTTCTCTGGATCTGCAAATGCGAATTGTGTTCATCTTCTTGCTCACCGGACTCTCGGCATTTCAGTTTTCCAAGCTCAGTTCTGTAAGTATCTTAGGTTTTATCCTATCCTATGAATTTGACGTTTCTGTCATCGATCTTGCTCCCTGCTCTCAGTTTCGGAAAATTTTTAATGAATTTGGACTTTGGAGGCATGATCGCGATCTACGGTTTGAATTCTAGAATTTTTTTTTTTTTTATCATGAATTTGCTGTATTTCGTCTTGTTTGATTTTAGTTTCAAAACCTAAAATCTATGCGGCATGAATCTCAGGTGAACTACTTTGAAAATTTTTCTCTTCTTCTGCTGGAATTTAGTCGAATTTTCTGTTTTTGGTCCCTAGTGTTGTTATTTTGTCTCTTGTTCTTCATTGACGTTGAAAGGAACTATTTTTAACTCTTCTATCAGCTTAGTCTTTTTTTAAGCAACCTCTAGGGGAATAGGCATATGGTTTCTGATGCTTAAGGTTAGAATTTCGATTTTGAGCTCGTTGAATTTAGCTTAATTTAATGTGGATGTTTTTTTCCCACATAATTCCTCCTGAAAGCGGAAGAATTTCGTGAATTGATAAAGTCTTGGCATCCACTTTGGACTTGCATTTCTTCTCTAGTTGATTCATTGAAACATGTAGAACTTTCCGTCCCTCTCTCTCTCTCCTTTTTTTTAAAAATTTTTTTATTGGTTTTGTGTTTATCTCAATAATTGTTCCTTCTTTTTCTTCATATAATCGAGTAAGTTCAAAATTTTCTGATTCTGGCTTCTCTACCTTTGTTTATTTGTTAGATGATTCTGTTTTCTTGCCAGAAGGAAGCTTCCTCCTTGTAGTTTTGTTTAGAATGATTTGGAGAACGTATTCTGGAGAGAATGTATGCAGCTTTATTTCTTTGCTAAGGAACTATGGATGGTGACAGGATAATCTCTGCCCCTTCAGATGGGCTTAGCATCAGCAATGGTGCTCAGAGAACACGAAATCTTCATGGGTATTCTCTTTTTCCTTTCTTTTTTTCTTTTTTTTTTCCTGCCATATTTGATGAAATATCTGTGATAGCTTTATAGAAATAATAGATTTCCTAAAACCTCTCATCTCTTCAGACGTCTATGTCAAACTGAAGTGTGAAGGCCTTTTCCATTGTTTTGAGTTCAGAAGTTCATACTCAAAGTATTAGGTTTTTTTGTACTTTTGATTTGAAAGATATAGAAGCTTCTCTACACACTCCCCCCTTGATTGTCCTGACTGTTGCTGGGGTTATTATAGGCTTTGAATAGATATGAACCATTATCTTGACTGTTTGTTTAGTGTGGCTGATTTTGCAATCTTTTGTAGGAGGACTACTGGCCCTACAAGACGTTCCACAAAGGGACAATGGACTGCTGAAGAGGTATTTTTTCCTTTTGTGTTTTACCGTGTTTATAACTTTATTTTATGTCACTGAT